GCTTTTTCCTTTCTATTTTAATATCAGGTACCGAAATTTAGTGAATCAAAATCCAAAAGCTTAAATTTTTACAGAAAATTCCTAAATACTGTTTGGTTTGAAGAAATTTGACACATTGAATAAATTGATAGTAATATTCTAAAGTATACTGTATTTTTAAATATAGTTTTTAATTTTTTATTTATCTAATAACATTTGGAATTCTTTCCTAATTTCAACGCATAATAAACGTACATAATACGTTAGGAAAGTCTTCCAATTTTTATATCTGAATCTTAGTGTAATTAAAGTACTGGGTTTATATTATACAGGATAAAGTCCCGGACCCACTTTGATGTTTAATAACTCATAAAATAATGAAGATATAAACATACTTATGGCATTTATTGATGGAATAACTTATATATTTTCCTTTTTGGTTTGAATACCTTTACTTTTGTAAATATTGTCTGCGCGTGTGGTTAATTTCAGATAATTTAATTTTCCAGTCTAAATATCTGTACTTTTCTATATAGCGTCTGCTTATTAACTGCATTTTTCTCTCTTTTGTTTTTGGCATCTTTCTGGCATTGCTAATTTTCCATAATGTGCGCATATGAGAATCCGAAAACCCCCATGAATACCGTAAGGCACAAAGGGATTCCCCAAAGGTTAACGAGTGGTGTGGAATAATGCCCGACCGAGTCATTGGGCCTTTCGTTTTTACAGAAAAGACGGTCTCATCACTCGTATGCTTAGACATGTTGGAAAACTTCGTATTTCCACAACTAGAAGAGCTTCAGCCACATGTCGTTTTGCAACAAGATGGTGCACCACCTCATTGGGGTACCATCGTTCGTAGTTCTTTGAATGATCATTTTACAGGAAGATGGATTGGGCGAGGAGGTTCAATTCCTTGGCCACCCAGATCACCTGATATAACGCCGCTGGACTTTTTCCTTTGGGGATTTGTAAAGGACAACGTTTACAGGAGGAGAGTGTCGAACATTGATGGCCTAAAAGGCAGAATTACAACCGCAATAGCCTCTGTGGATGTCGACATGCTTGCCGGTACCTGGCGTGAAATTGAATATCTACTTGATATTCTCCGTGCGACGAAAGAGGCACACGTGGAAGTTCATTGACAAGGGTCATGAAACTTTTTGAGTCTATTTAACAATTTATGTTATTAATTTTAATCTATCTTTATTATTTTATGAGTTATTAAATATCAAAATAGGTCCGGGACTTAATAAACACCATGTATTTCCACAATAATATTTTCTCACAGAAGATCTGCAATACTTAATATGTATTAAAGATTAATGCATACAACATATAGATGCTTTTAAAATAATATGAGTAGCATAACATGAAGACTGTAAAATTATAAAACCTTATTTATAATGTGTTATATATTACATATATGCAGTTCATAATCGTCTGAAAAAGAACCCCTTATGTGGTAAGATGCTAAATGCTGATAGCTAAGTTTAAATCCTAACAAATACACTTTGGGCCAGATTTTGTTCAGCTTATCTTGTCTGACGATCTGCTTAAAATGTTAAATGAAGACCAAGGTATTTGTATCATAACTATCCAATACTATACCTGATCTGCAACCTAAAATTCCTGTGGCTCTGAAGACAAACATGTTAGTGAAATTGTTATGTGATTTATAGATATTATTATATAATAGCAGATCAGATATTCCTTCAATCAGTATGGGGATAGGTATAGTATAATCAAATATGCGCATATTAAACATTTGTAGAAACAGATTTTATAGACTTCAATTTTTATTAGAATTTATATATTTGTAAAACATACTTATCTTACTTAAAGCTACTTTCAAAATACTTTATTTTTATATAACTCGCTGTTCAGAAAAATTATTGTTGCTGACATTCAAGAGCAGATGAAAGTGTATCATACTAAACTCATAAAAACATGTAAAATTAAAGTATGGCAAAAATAGCACCTAAACGTAAAATCTTGTGCCAGTTTCAAGAATTAACTAGCCTTCTTCAGTTAAAAAACTAAAAAGTGTTTCATTCCCAGATATTTGGAGCATATATATCAGAAAACCCACGAAATTGATAAGGATTATTTGAATTCTGCTTAAATCTAAGCTTTTTATTTATTTATTTATTTTAACCTTTAAATTCATTACCAGTCGAAATTTTGAATTTTGTGACAACTATGTTTTTGTGAATCTGGGATCACAGAAGGATTCCTTCAGCCAACATCCCAAGTTTTTCCGATTAGATGTTTGCAATGACTCTGCATGAAAACCTACAAATTAAATTCGTTAAAAGCTTTAGAAAGTAGAAACGAATGCTCTCATTAGGTATGTTCCTTCTTTGTGAGGAAATCAGCTTTTTCATTACCATTAATTATACATTGGAAAGGAACCTACTCAACAATTACTCGGAATTGAAAGCGTCTTGAAATTTCTCTAGATGTCTTCAAGAACAGCTCTGATATATACAAGAAAAATATAATATTTAGTCTCTTTTTAGTAATAATAATATTAGGATTTTGGAGCATTAACTGAAGTACAAGTGTTCATAACGATATCTTCAGTGGTGAACTGCATAAGTAATTTGTTAAATTTATCTTCAAATTGCAAACCCCAAGTTCATTTGTTTGCTTAGTATTTATTCCAGGAAAACCACGCCTTTCACGTTGTAACTATACTTTAACAAACATTAAATTTTACATTAAAGTGTGAATAAAAATAAATTACTTTGGCGTTTTCATTGAGATGGCTTTAACGTGAAAAATGCATAATGAAATTACTAATAGTGTAAAGGAAGCTCTAGTCATTATGAAAACTATTGCTATCGTAAGGTATTTCTCCCGCTTTCCTAGCGTACCTTCGTGGTGTAGTGGTTCTGCACGCTGGTCCGGTATTCCAGAGGTCCGCGTTTGGATTCCCGGAGAAGGCGTTTGCTATTTTTCATCTCTCCGGCTTTTCCAATTAACCTAATGTCTCTATGCTATTAATAGGGGTGAAGCTAAACGGGCTTTCAGCTCGATGAGCAGTATTTCCGCAATAAAATCTTCTTTGACTCACAATAAATTTCAGATTTAAAGATAGTTTTAAAGGGGGAAACTTACAGTAGAATGTAAAAGCTTTTCGAAAAATTTCTTCTTGGGTCTTAGAAACCTTCCAAAAGGTCAGCTAAGAGCAGAGAAGAAACTCTGTGTGGCAATGACTGGAATAAATTTTGCTTTATAATGAAATTTGATACTTTATGTAATTTCTATGGAATTTTTATTTCAAATTTTTTTATGTGCATATATTTGCATTGTCTGTTTTTGTAAAAATTAAAATATTTAATTATAGTTTGGTATTTTGTTTTTATAAAATAAAGAGTGAGCTCTTTGTTAAGATTTTCATAGCTCACCCCTGAGCATTTTAATCAAATTTTATGTAGGTTGATACATTACAATTTAACACATAGTGGCAAAAGCATCAGATTATGTTGAATAACATGAATTTTTTTTTTTTTTTTTCCTAATAAATTGTTAAAGTCCTCTTCAGTGTCCATGTTACTGATCAAATTACGTGGAAAAACTCAGTTAGCAAGTCCCAGCTCCATAGTATAACCAAACATAGTTTTGTAAAGTGAACATTTGATTCCCCCGTGATATGCTTTTTTTTTATTTCTTGAACAAACTTTAATCCTTCAGTCTTGGTTCGCCCATTCGACAGAACCTTGCGGTTGACTGTGTCTCGGCTTAACTATTTTATATCACTCGACATTTCGCATAAACTGTTTGTGATTTGGTTGCAAAATTTTCTCCCATTGTCGGAATGGAGAATGTTCGGGGCACTCAAAGTCGTGAAAATATCCAGATGGTGCTATATTACTTCATCAGCTCTTTTATTGTGCAGACTTCAGAATTTTGTAACATGACGTTTATACACTAAAAATAATTTCATATTTGCTTTTTTTCTGACATGGTTCACATAGTCTCAAATACGTGACGATAGATTCTACTATTACATTCTTGTACTTGCGATTCAGTTCCTTAATCATACGGGTTCCTCCACCATGGCCAACTGCGATATGAGCATTGTGTAATACGCTTAAGATTTCATCATTGTAACATAATGCAGGATTTCAGCTTTTTTGCAGATAGTGGTGCTTAAGTTTCTCCTCTCCTCCTGTTTTTGCTTCACACATTTTGCTTCTTATTTATTAAAGAAGTGTGTTTCTCATTTGTTAAATAAAAGTTGTTATCGTGCTCATTTTTTATAGTTTCAGACAAAATGTCGCAAAACGTTTTCCGCATAACTTCACTCATTTCAACAAAATAAAAAAAAATAAAAATAAAATAAAAATAAAAAAAAGCAAAATATTTTGAAATGGAAACAAACTGCTTCTATCTTAGATCGTAGCCGATCACACATGTTTGAATTAGCTCGAAACTGAACTGCAAATAAGATTGCAAAAAGTGTCTCCACGGATCTATGTGCCCAGGTTTCTTCAGAGTCGATTTAAATCCCTCGTTTCCGGCTTTTACCGGAAGACGTTAGTAGTTACTAGGTTCCGCCGCAAAGTCTTGTAAAAGGCCGGAATGGAATTATTAACGCATACTTCGGACTTTTACCAAGCTCCTTTGAAACAAGCTAGGTTTTACCAGTAAAACCTAGGATTTACCAGACTTCGGACTTTTACAGTGACATATACATATTCTTTGGCTTATCCCTGATAGGTTTTTTCCCCCAAAGAACTGGTTTTTTTCGCCTTAGTTGACCAATCAAATAATCGTGAAAGCGAAAATTTATGAAGCCGTTTCTTTTAACATGCTGTTTAGGGTAGGCATAGATATGATACAGGTTTTACGTGAAGCACCATTGTATTTTGAATAAATCAGGATGTAGAGATTCATAGCTAAAAGTTATTGCTATCCCAGAAATTAAATTTTTGAATGCGAAAGACATAAATCTTAAAAAAATATACAGTTTTGAACAATCAGCTAATAAGGAGAATAACAAATTTTGATAAAATTTATTGGAATACAATTTACGCAAAATTGTACATCATTCCGTTGGTAGAAAACATTTCATTTGGAACTTGAATGAATTACAAAAGCTGCCCATATGTATTTGTATAAATACGTCTCTTACGCAGAAAACATAGTTGGTTTGTCCACGTAGTATAAATGAGCATAAACCGTGAAAGAAATAAATATATAATTTGTCACAACGTATTATACATATTACCAGATCCATGGCAAAACCACAAATCTACAATGCCGTTGTTTCGAGAAAAAAAGCATTTAAGTGTCTGACAATCTAGAAGAGAACAAAAGTACAAATATGTGATTTTGGCAAAATGTCAATTAATCATTTGTTCAAATAAGTACGATGAGGATAGAAAATACTGATAAATTATAAAATGTTAGTTTATAAAATGTTATGCAGCTTTATGAACTTCTGGAATTCCCATGTAGTTTAAAAAGAAATCTGCTGCTGAGATTTTATTTCCGAATATAACTTCTTAATAAATAAATGCACAAATAATAAATGTGAAGATATAAATTTTTACAGATTATTAAGTAACATCGCAGAGACTTTTGAAAATCACAAATTCGTCAATAATGATCAAATAAATAGGTGTTAGAATTTGAGAATTTTCTGTTTCATATCACACAAAACTGCTTAAATTGCATTATATATCACAACGTGCACATTTTTTTATACCACTTCTTGTCTCTGACTGGTTGAACATGGAGCTGAAAATTTTCATCATCGAGAGGAATGATTGCGGGAAGATCTCCATTGCTATAATTTTCAGAATTTTTAATCCCCTTCTTTGTTGTTGAAGCTTTAAATTTAGTAGATGAGGGAGTTGCGAAGGATGTTGGACTTTTTCTTTTCATTATCTTCAACAAAAGAGTTTCAAAAACCTGCAATTACAAGAGAAAATATTATGATCGTAACTATGGAAAATATTGATTATCACAATCGCGCTCAACTCCTTCAGTAATTACAGTTCTCAAAGAGTTCACCACAAGCGATTTTATTTTTTAAGACATGGAAAAACAGCCATGAAAAATCTTCTTACAGCGTTGTGAATCTGAAATAATTATTTTTAGGATGAAGTCATCTACATTACTGACATTCCATAACTTAATTAAAGATTTTAAAGCGAAGTTTAATGTGTAACATCCGTAGAACAATGCCATAATTTTGTTTACAATAAAATAGATGTAGCAGTTATTTGTGAACTTTAAATTGTTTAAATGAACCTATTGTTTAAAGTTAATTTTCTGCTTGGATGAATAATTTTATTTGCACAGTTTCTTCGGTAAAAGATTCTTTCTGAAAAATAGGGTAGAGAAATTAGGTTATTTCGAAGCAGGAGACATGAAAAATCAGCAATGCCCTCGCCGGGACTCGAAACACGGACTTCTCTAATAAGCGCCGGGTGTGCTGACCACTACACCAGGAAGACATGCTCAGAAGGCGGGAGAAATACCTTATAACCTTTTAAAGTAGGTACTTCAGAGTTAGTTAGAGGTGTAGTTACTCTAAGTCTGTTAGAAGTTTAGAACGAGTTTGGGCTCTCAAAACAAGTCAAACTCTATAAACCATTCGTTGATAAATTGATCAAAGATTGTATAGTTCGGCCATACACTTTAAGCAAACAGATTCAAAGCAAATATAAGTACTGTCGGTAATTCGTTCGCAAAGAGATCCTAGGTTCAAGTGAGTAGCGTTGAACATTGGGAGTTTGACGATATTAGAACTCACTTGTTGCCGTTAGACGGTTACAATATCCGAAAACCGCTAATTAATTTGATAATCGCAGGGAAATTTGATATTCATGATATCTTATAAAATACTGAAAAATTTGTTATATTCTTCACATACCAATTTTATGGTGCCACGATTAAATTATTACTCCAATAATGAATGATTGCTTTTAGAGGTAATTAATTTTCTCTATAAATTTATATACAGATTGTTTATGTTTATAGTTTTATTTATTATTTTATAGTTTATTTAAGTCAAATCACGAAATGTATTTGAGAGTACCTCACCTGATCTACGTTTTCTCCGCTTTTTGCACTACATTCCAGGTAATCCATACCTTCTTGCTGGGCAAATCTTGCTGACCACGCTCGCAGTAACTGCTTTTTTGGCTGGATCTTCGTTTTTGTTGCCAACTAAAATAATTATCATTATAATTACAAAATAATTTATTTCATAGGAAGAACTTGCAGTGTACTAACTTCAACAATGCTGCAACTAGAATCCACTCCTTTTTATTTTAAACCCCACTAAAATACCATTTCTTTCACATTTGCATTTTCAAATTATGCTTAAATCCAATTCAATAAAACGACAATTAAGTAAATATTATTATAATGCATTTTATGGCAAAAGTTAAGTTCCTCTTTGCCTAATAAAAGTCTTTAAAGGCAGCATTTCCTAATTGAATTAAACCATGGAATCTTGTTAACTCTTGAATATTAATTTTAACGTAGCACATTAAAAATAATTATTTAAAAATGAAATATTATATTTAACTGGACGATCAAAATAATCGAAACAATCTTGAAATAATCTTCAAATAAAATCTTGAAACAAATCATTAATTACAAACAAAGTATACTGAAATTAAGTGCAAAAGTAACACATGCACGCACATATAAAAAAGTTAGAGCTACCGACTATTAAAAAAGGAGGGGGCACGAAAATCACTGCCGTTAACGTTTCGAATGTTAACGGAAAATATAAGATATATGGGTAGATATATCACCTAAAAGATTGGATAAGCAATGATATCAGGAAGGAACAAGCTCTTCGAATTTAACAGTTTAATTAAACGATTAAAATTCTCAAAAAAGATATCTCACAATAAATATCTTTTGGTTTTCTAACAATAAATACCTCTCTTTTTCGTTAATTGTCAAAATTTGATTTCATTACTTTCACACATCCTATTTAAAAAAATAAGAAATTTGTTTCTAATATTCTTAGGGTTACCTATATACTTTAAAAGTGACCATGGTGTTGAAGGGAAAATCATGGCCAATCTCAGTTTTGAAGCAAATTAGCATGCAAAGTGACTTTGCATAATAAAATGATTCAAAATAAAATGATTTTACTTCATCTAAATACACATAACAAATCAGAAAGTATTATTGAACTTTTTATCTTACCTATAAGGACGTCAGCTTCATCATTGTGTGTTCTCAAGTCTGATAACCAGCCTGATACCATGGAGAAAGTGGCATAGTCAGTCACATCATAAACTAAAAGAACACCGTCTGCCATTCTGTAATATCTATAGAGAAACGTATTTATAATTTTACGTTGAAGAAACTGCATAAAAATACAAACTTATTAAGATTTGATGAATAAAATTCCAAAGAGATGTTAACAGAGGGATTTAAAATAACTTTATAACATGAAGCCAGAAGACTATGGATAAAATATTAAGCTGCCAGTGGAATTAAAATAAGCCATTTGATGAATTGTCATTTGATGAATGTTATGATTGTCATTTGATGAATGTTATGCAGGCCAATCTGGACTTCGCTTGTTATATTATTATAATACCAGTGAAACTAAGAAAGTTCTTTAAAAAATTAAATGTAGAAGAATTGTAAACAGCTACGAAACGTTTTTCCATTATTGAGTGATTGTAGATATTTTTATAGCTAATTAACCTTCAAATCTGTAAAGATATGAAAAAGGTTAGATTGATTTTAAATTACGATTTCAAAGCAAATGTATTCTAATCTCAAAACAGAATTACCATAAATTTATGCTAATGTGAGGAATATTTGAAAAAATAAACTTAACTTCAATTTGCACTCTGTTTAGTTATGCATTTATAGACAAAACCTAAACAGTTGAATCAATCCGACCAACTTCATATTATTCCAGTGTATGTATTCACGGAAGTCAAAATCAAACCGCCTATGAGTAAAGTACTTAACAAATTAACTGAAGATTTCAAATCGAGAATGTTAAATCTTGTGAAATACTTAAGTGTTAATTTTTCAACCAAAAATAAAATAAGTTATATGCCTGAACTTAACCAATTATCCCTGCCATTAAAGAAACTAAAAGTATAACTTACACACACACACACAAAAAAAAAAAAAAAAAAAAAAAAAAAAGACAGTTTTATGTTTTCCGTTCTACTGGACCGATTGATGAAATTTAGCTTGGGATTTTTGTATCTCGAAATCCCGACTTAGGATATACATCAGATTTAAACATAGCATAATTCTAACATAGGTATTCTGGAAAGTTTTCTTCCACTCCTATGGTTAAAGTGACATCACTGTCTTGAGCTCTGGAAAGATAAAAGTTTGACCTCGAAACTGATAGAATGAACTGAGCGTAGTTTTGTCTGTCGGCTATTTACTGACTGTGGTTCTGATAATGTGACGCTACTTGCCATCGGCGAACTAAGTGACAGACCAGCGCATCTCGAAAAATTTATAGCCACCCTGCTCGCTTGATTCTATTCTATTCTAATTTCATTTGTAAGACTATCTAAAGAATGAAGTGAATCTCAGCAATCCTAAAACCTCACGAAATCTGTGGAAGAGCATCATAATCACCGTGAATCCAACACCAATCAGCAGTTCGAATGAAGTGGTAAGAAGCATGTTACGCTTCTATGGATTTGTGTATCGAAGAATGGGGCGGACATTTCCAATACGTTTTGAAAAAAGAAACGTATTTATTAAATTACTGAAAATTATTAAAGTTACGAGTTTCATTCTGAATTGATGTAGTGCATTAATGTACATCTAAAACGGGATGAGTCCATGATAAATAAAAGTGTAATCATTTCAGATTAGAGTTTGGAAATTTTTAAATAGTACTATATATTAATGATATAATTTAAAGTGTACGAGATTTATAATGCAGGTGACTGTTAAATTTTATAACTATTTGGAGCACTATTAAATTAATAAAAGATTTTTATGCATATTGCTTACATTACGCATATTGGTACAGAATTTTTTATTTTGGGTAGATATGCATTGCGTCTCAGTTCCTTGTAATTGCAGAGATGAATTAGGTCAACAAAATTTCTGGTATTAGCTCCTTTAAAAAAAATCAGACGTTCGTGAGAGATTGGCGCTCAAAACCTTAAAAATCAGACAACCTTAAAAGATTTCGATTAGTCAAAAACTTCTAAAACTAAAGAGAATACCAGTATTTAATATGTCAGATTTCAAAAAGCCGAGCGTGCAGTGAAAGCATGCCAAAGGATCCTTTATGGCAAAGTCACTACACAAACAAAGTTGCGCTCTTCCCCAGGCTGGAGTTTGATGACGTCACTTATTTGCAGAAGTAGAAGAAAGGAAGATGCAAAGGATGAAGGGAGTAATTGCTTTAGAGCAGACTATGAGTCACAGGCCCAAAGATTTCTGGTGGGGAAGAGCAAACCATGCAGTACATAAACTTTGCTTCAGTTATCTACTTAGCTGGACCTTAGATGGATATCATTTTATTATTATTATTATTATTATTATTATTATTATTATTTTTACAAGGACGCACTCCGTGGTAACGAATTTTCCATTCTTGTATAAGGTGAAGAAGAGTGGGGTAAAAAAAAGGAGGAAGAAAAGGGTTTGTTGCAATTTAATATAATCACAAGCAGGTTAGGGCAAGAAAAGCAATTGCATATTGCAAGTTCAGCTTTCTGGGGTGGATATGTTTTCTTCAGAAATAATTAAAATGCCTTAGAACTTCAATACATTTTTCATGCTGCCTAGCAAACACACAATTCCTAATTGTGATATGGAACATTTTATCATTCAAATTAGAATTGAACTACTAAACAAACTTAGCTATTTAAACAGGCCATAAATGCATTTCTTAAAAATGTATCCTTGTTTCATTTTTAGTAAGGCATTTAATTGCTGTTGAATACATATTTAATTGGTATTACTTTTAATACATCCATGTAATAATCATATATATTTGGATCGTTGCAGTAATTAATAAAGCATATTTATATTATTTACTTACTTCGGTACACAATATTTTGACCTTTTCAAGTATTCCAAGCCATACGGGTAAACATATATTTACGATTATTTTTCAATTATCGATTGTGGTTTATCTGCATGATGTTTTGTTTCATCAAACGTGCTTTACGTTTATCAGAGGAATGTACATGAACTAAGTATAAAAAAGTCTCCAATCATAGTTCTTAATTTATTGTATTTTCCATATCTTTATTTGAATGAAACGTTTTTGCATTAATACAGAAATTACTGAGCTTTTTTGAATTCCTATTAAAATAAACTGGCATCTATCAAATATCAAAATCAAGAAAATGCTTGCTTTTTCTACAGGAAAAATGTCCAATATAGAGAGAAAAAGTTAAAAATGTGTATGTGGAAGAAACTTTTCTGTATCCATATACGTTCCCGTATACAAAATCAAGAAAAAAGTTATTTACGTTCATAAACAACTACATTAATTAAAGTGTACGAGATTCTTGAAACGTTTGTTTCTAGTCAGGAGTTATTTTGTTACCTTTAAAACACTACAAATATATAACTGTGACTTTTAAAAATTCTTCTGAACTATAACATGCAGCTTTTACTGGGAAAGTTTCGTTATCCCTGGCATATAAGTGATACTCTCATCGGTAATAATTTGTCTGATGGAGGTTATTGTCACAAAAATAATGATTTTTTTGCTAGAAACTATACATGAAATTATATATATTCTGTGGCATTAACGTATTTCCAACATAATGAGAATCACTTCCTATACTTTGGAGCATTCACCTTCTCCAAAGTCATGGATTTTAAGACAAATCTTTTTTAATCGAGTGGCGGCCCAATCGGGCCATAGGCTTGCATATCTATAATATATCCGTATTTCTGCAATGAGACAGTAAAAATACGATATAAACAAAGAAATATCGTTTCAATTAGAACGTTCGAAAAAAGAGAAATAAACACCAGCAAATGGTTTCAGAAGATCTCTGATTGATTCTGAAAGTTTTATCTTGGTATACATTTTTCTCTTGCTTAACGACAGAAAAATCGGTAAGTGTAGAGGGAAGGGTACACCTTGTATTATTGCGAAGTTTTTCCATTTATCGCCAAATTGTTGTTTCATTTACCGCCAAGTTGTTATTTCAGTATGGTAGCTTGAGTAGTTGATTGTTATGGAAACCCTACCCTATTATTATGTAATCGGTTGCATGATTGCGGTAAATTCGTAAGGGCTTGTGGTGTGTGTGTGTGTGTTGGTTAGGAAGTATATTGCTTATTTTACGGTTTAGACGGTAAAATGGCTGAATGGGGTAAGATTAATTTGAAGTTTCTGTACGATTTGAAAAGGAAGGGGAAAAAAGCATTACTTGACTAGTGTGTAAATGAAGTTTTACTTAGTAGCCATTATTAGGTGTCCTGTTTGTAGGAAGGAAATGTATATGGTCAAACGGTCGCAAATGCTTACGGTCGAACGTCGATATGGAGGATATTTTTAACTTTTATTTTGTGAATTTATGTGGCAATGCCAGTATACAGATTTTAGTTCAGATAATTTTAGGAAGTTTTTGGATGCTGTTAAAAGAATTTTGTTTGACTGAAGACGTGTTAATTCGCAAATAAGGTAAGTGGATATTTCCTTTACGTAGTGCAAAGATGAAGTTCCTTTTTTATATTATTTCATTGTTTGATTTAAAATGTATTTTATTGAGATTGTATATTTTTTTGTTAGCTGCTCCTTTGACTTTTTAAGTGACTATAGTTCGATATGTACATGGACAAAGGGAGTGCGCGAAACTTTATTTGTGCAATTCAGGGATTCTTTTTAAAGTGAAAATAGTTCGATGTGTACATGGATACCGAGTTTGTGCAATTTTTTTGCCTTGTTATTTTGGCTTTGTGTAGCGGCGATTTTTGGCGGCGCAAAAATCGCCGCTACACAAAGCCAAAATAATAAGAATTGAACAAACTCGGTATCCATATACCGCTAAAAAACGCCAAATTTCGCCAAGGGATACCGGTAAATATACTTTTACCGAAAAATCATGTAAAAACGAGAACTGGTGATGGGAAAATTAAATATCAGTGACAACTCAATTTTAAAAGAGTGCTCAAGGTAATCTAAAAATAGAATTCTTGAAGTACAGAAAAAGAAATAAGCTTCGGATAATATCTTATCTAATCAAAAGGAAAGACGTTTTTACACTTCCACTATTAGATACTCCTATTATCTTATGTTAGTAATTAAACCACTTTCAGGTTTATAAAAGTATTCCTGTTAGTATTCCTAACAATTACTTAC